AGCGACAGCTCCAACAAACTCAGTAACGATGGAAAGGAAACCGACTTGAACCATGGTCAAAGTTTGGGCAGCGACAGATGCTGTAGATGGTCAGTACTATCCTACAGCCCATGGGAGTACAGCGTATACTGGCATAAGAATTGGCGACATCATTGGCACCATTACCGAATGCGGAGAAGACGAAAGCAATTGTCGTGATCGCAAGGATCCAGTCGTATTTGGCGGTAATTGCGGGTGCCATCTTGATTCTGTAAGTCTCGGGGCTGCAGATGAGAGAGTGACGAGTATCTGCAGAGCGAACTACCGATTGTGAGAAGCAGCTCTTCTCAATATATATGGGCACGCGAGCACTTGCCACAAAGTTACGAGTCCTGTCCCAGCCTCAACAGGGACATTACCACGCAAGCCCAGCCAAGCGGAAAGGATTCTCGCTGCCCAGCACGCATGTCAATGACGCTTGGTTGCACGCTCTGTGGTGGTTGGCCGACGCACCCCCGGTCCGCTCCGCCAATCTGCCAAGTAGCCAAGCAGCCCCGTTCCGCCTTGCTCGGCGGAACTTGGAGACTCCACAAAGCAAAACAGCCTGCGTCTTTAACGTCTGCCAATTACACCTTGTCCTTCTTGCACGTTGCGGATTGAAAGGTTTTGAGACACACTGGGTCTGGCATGGATTGCTGCCACGAGCTTGAAAGAGATGGCCGCATACGCTCCCGACATGCCATTGTCAATCTGCCGCAGACATCAAGCCTCGCTTAAACCCGTTACAATTGCCGTTACAGCCGGTTGCCGACAATCTTCCAGTCGAAAGTCGTGGTGTTGAGGCTCTGCAACCTCAGATCACGTGGCCTATGTCCACAATGAATGTCCTATACGAACTCACAGCTCGGCACCCGCGTGCCTATTGTGAGGAATAGCGAATATCTAGGTGCTTATTGAAGCTACTGCATTTGCCATTCACCTCGTCATGGTCAGCGAGACTGCAATGCTCCAGGCAACCACCTTATTTTCACCGCAACACCTTTTCACCAGATAGAGCAACTCCGACCTTCATCAACATCAAAGCTATAGCATCAGCACACACCCAAGACTCTTTAGTGTCAACTGCGCCACTCTCAGCAATCCCATACGCACCATTGAAATTCTCTTCCCCATTTTGCAGTATACCACTCATAGCAGCTTACCAGACTGTCACCGTCATCATGTCCAGCAATAGTCGCCTCGAAGCAAATCCGCCTCTTGATGGAAAGATTCTCCACTGGCGATGCACCATCGGAAACTGCCAGCATATCAACTAGACGCAGAACAGGCAGTTCGACTTTGACTTCGCCTGCAAAAGATGCGGCGTAGTCACTGGCAAAAAGGGTTGTCTCCTCCAAATCACCCTTGTGGACGGTCAGGAGGAACTCGAGAAGCTTGCGAAGGAGCGCTTTGGCATCGGTCCGCCGCCGGACGACACTTTCTCAAGGGTTATGGTGGCTACGACTCAGTCTTGAAAGCGATTTGTGAGGACGAGAGCGTTTTTGGCGGCTTCGACGATACGAGGCGGCCAAGTGGAGCTTCTTCGGTAAGCATAGAGTTCTTCGAGGCGTTCGGAATGCATACTCCTGTGATGACGTAATGGCGGTCGAACTTGCTTAGCAAAAACTGATAGATATAAATTTGGGATCAGAATCTGAACAAAGTAAGTAATACAATCTTGGGCCCTTTCAACATTGTCTGCTTCTTCCATCACGGTTATCTTCTCGCCTTATCATGTTGGCTTGCGCGACCACCGTGTCGGCGACGGCCCGAATCGAATCCTCAAGCTGGGCCTGATCGAGCAACTGGAGAAGCTGGGAGTCACAGTCCACACCAACGAGATCCAGCCTGTCGATGACTTCGAAGGAGAGATAGGTCGAAGCTTCGAAGTCTTGCGGCGCACATCAGTCGCGGTCTCGAAGGCGCGCGCCAACAACTCCTTCCCCTTCATCTTGTCTGGCAACTGCATGGCCAGCGTCGGCGCTGCCTACGGACTGGGTATCAAGGACCTCAACTTCATCTACTTCGATGCGCACGATGATATGGACACGCCGTCGACGAACGAGAATGGTTACTTCGATGCAATGGGGTTGTCGATGTTGGCGGGCAAGAGCTGGCACTGGCACACACAACAGATCCCAGGCTATTCGACGATGAGCCATAAAGACCGCTTCCTGTACGTGGGTTTGCGAGATGTAAATGACTCATAAAGGAAGACGGTTGCGGAGGTTGGCGCGGACGTGATCTGGGGCGATGCGGAGAAGCCTGTCGAATTTGCGCGCGAGTTGGAGACATGTCTCGAGAAGAGTGACTTCTCGCCCTCGTTGGTGCACCTAGATCTCGACGTGCTAGACGAAAGCGTGGGCAAGGTCAACGGCTTCGAGAGTGCAGGCGGACTGCAAGAGGAGGATCTGATGTAGTGCATAAGTCTGCTGCCGAGGAAGGCCACACCTGCGTCGTTCACATTGTGCTCCTTTAACCCGAATCTGGGCGACGGCGATAAGATCACGACAATAGGGATAAGGGCTGCCGTGACCTTTGTAGAGTCTCTCATTGCGACATCTGTACTTAGAAAAGCAATGTAGTGCAGGCATGCGTGTTCTGCAACATTGGCAGGGCCCGTCGGAGGCGCGATAAAATTGGCCCTTCTGCTGCGCGCCTTCCTTCTGCAAACCAAAACAGACCACCACCACGTCACATCACGAACTCTATTTTTTCTCGGTGTCATGATGTGAAACTCGCATGCCCGCGATGGATCCTCCGCAGGGTGATCTCAAGATACGATGATGCGAAGGGTGACCGTACAGTACGCGCAAGAAAAATGCAGTGGAGACGACTATGCAGAGCTGACGCCTTAGGCCTGTGTCATTGGTGGACTGTCGCGATGACCGGGGTGGGCGCGACATACCGGTCAGCTTCAGCCTTCTTGACGAGGCGACCCCTCAGTAAGACAACCGGACTTGATAGGCATGCAAGACCACCCCATATTCTGCCACAGCAGCGGGTGCTTGCAAACTTGAGTTGTACTCTTACATTCAGCTATGACTTCGACTCGACCTTCCGGACGACAATTCTTCTGGCCTAATGTCTCACTGGAGAGCGTCGAACGCGAGTGCAAGAGAAGTGGCGACAGCTACAAAGCAGGCTATCATGATGGAGTACAAGGGTACTGGATCATTGTCTCGAAACATCAGGCGCCCAAAGGGAAAATGAGGCTCTCCGTACCAACGACGAAGCGTGATCATCGCATTAGATCTGCATCTCCTACGCTGCCCGTCGACAGTACAACACTTCGACAGGCAGACGGAAAAGTAACGGATTCAACGGGACGTAATTCGAAGGCGCCCTCAGAAAAGAACAAAACGAATGCCTCCAAACCAGCACCAAAGAGAAGGCTCTCTGCGGTCCTCTTAGAGCATCTGGTGTCGTCGTCTGCAGACGACAGTACGTCAATTTGGGAAGGTTCGACGACAGGCGCTCGCTATGAGTACATCCAGGGTGAAATGCTCGGGAAGGGCAGCTTTGGCGAGGTCAGGAAAGTCTCAGTAAAAGGCTACGACGGAAGCGTAGCAAGGAAGTCGATGTTTCTGCAGAGTCGAAACAAGCGACAGGTCCAGAAGGAGAAGGATAGGATCCAGCGCGAAGTTGAGAATCTTCAGCGTGCACGTCACAAGCATGTTGTCAACATCCTCGACTGCTATACAGAACAAGAGAGAAGCTTTACGACCTACTACTTGGTAATGTCCCCTGTGGGCGACAAAGATCTTGAAACACTGCTCGACAAGTTCCCGGAAATGTCGATCACAGATCAAAATAGGTACCGAAAGAGGATCAGTAGATGGTTCCAATGTCTAGCTTCAGCTCTGGCATACTTGCACCAACAAGGCATTCGCCATGAAGACATAAAGCCAAGTAACATCATACACCGGGGCGACACTATTTATTTCACCGACTTCAGTTCATCGAGGGTCTTCAAGCCAGACTTTGAGACAGCAACAACCAGTACGGTCGAAACGACTCGGAGATTTGCCGCTCCAGAAGTCCTCAACACGTACGATGACGAAGTCCATATCCGCAGCGGCAATGCAATCAAAATTACCGGGAAAGATGGCAAGGTCACATACGAAGTACCTCACGGACGACAGTCAGATGTGTTCTCACTGGCCCTGGTGTTTGCTGAGATGACAACAGTCTTCAACAGAAGTATTTCCGAGCTACATGCTTTCGTGCTTGTAGTGGAGAACAGCAAAATAACACCGCTCTACCACGAAGTCATCAATCGTCTCGACATCTGGTTTGCAAAGGAGTTGAAGTCCGAAAGAGGTCTCAAACTGTGGCAATGTTGCTTACAATCCATGCTAAGAGAAAAGAGAACGTCAAGGCCATCGGCCTTGAACATTCTGCACACCCTGCAACGAGAAGAGCCTGTTGGAAAGATGGCCGACGATGGCTGTCAGACATTACTACCTCCCGCGCCTAAGGTCAGGATCCAAAAACCTCAGGCAGACAAGCAAGAAAGCAGCGGCTCCCAGGATACGACACGAAGTAAGAGAGTCACAAAGGCTCCAGAAACAGATACAAAGGGTAGAGGGATCAATGATCCTGACACGAAGGCGGCTGCTGACGGTCAGCCGAAAGAGAAAGCGAATGGCGTAGGTGCAGCCAAGCGAGTAGACAGAAGCAAAGACCGTACGCCGGAGAAGAAAGAAGCCGACACAAGAGTCCGCAAGACATAATTTGACGTACGAAAGCGCGTAGAACAGTTTGAATGTCAGAATCCAGGTTTGCAACTACACGCAACCCGCCCAAATACAAGCCTCAAATGCAAAGCACTTGTCGCAGGGCTGAGTTTTGCCGGACTCTACCGATGAGTCAGGTACCCCGACTTCTTTGTGTCAACGACCCAAGACCGTACCAAAAGTCACGGGGCTTCTGATTTTCTACTGGTTATATACATCTTGATCTTCAGTTATCTCATAAAATCCGTTATGGTCTAGGTAAGCTCAACCAATCTCCCACAAACCAGCTTCGACTAACAACAGAAAGTGGCTAGGATACATCGCTCTCACTAGCAAGCGCCGATGTGGCCGGGGTTCGATTCCCCGTGACGGAAGCATCATTTTTTTGCACTTTTTTGCACTTTCTGGAACGCTTTAGAAGTGTATCGGAGGTGCAAAATCAAGATGGTGGTTGTGTTGGTGAATTTTTGCGGTGCAGGCTTCCACGCGGGTCTGCAAGGGTGCGACTGCCCTCTTCGTACTTGGGTGGCCTTGATATTAGAAGCGTGGCGTCAGGGCAGGATCAGTGTTTTGCGTTTGTGCGAAAAATAGCGACCTGCCAGAATTAATTACGAGGTTTGCAGCCGCGTCCTAATGTGTTCTTCTGGGCAGCAATGTTCGGCGAGGCAGCTCTAATATTCGGCGAAGCGTATGTAACAGGTACCAAAAGACTCGTAACCACCAAAAGTGCTGTACAGTTGCCAGATCCACGAACTCTGCAATTACTGCTTGAATACCTCCTCTATTTATAGGAAGAAGCTAATCTACAGCTGTCTTGTCATATGTCCCATAGAGGATCCTTGTACTCAGGTGCATCCGCCTTGCCGAATATCAAAGTTGCCTCTCCGAATATCGTCGCCCTGCTTCTAGTTGTTCTCTTCACATTCTGCGATGTATGTCCTGCCATGATGCCTGAAACCATTAGCATCATTCGTGATTACTTTATCACAAGCATCTTACTTGGTAAATTGGATACAAAATGGAGTCCGCAACAACCACGTTCTCTCTCCTGCTGGCTGCAAAGACGATCACTTCTGCGATGTCGTCTGGCGTCAGCGGATCACAGCCCCTGTTGCTGATCAGTCACCGCTACAGCCAGACACAAGATCGCTACTTACTCGTATACCTTGTCCGCCGACGCTTTGTCGCCTTTGTTTCGTATCACAGTGAACTCCTAAGCGTTCATCAGTCACCGCTCCACCAGTTCAAACTCGACTTACTTACCGTCAACACTTGCCCGGGGTCCACTGTGATCACCCGGATCCGCGTATCAATCAACTCTTTCCTCAGCGCCTCGGTGAACGCCCGTACCGCCGCTTTACTCGCGCAGTAAATGCTTCCTCCCGGATATGCTTCTCGCCCTGCGATGCTCCCCAGCATGATCACATCTCCTCTCCCACCGTCTGGCCTCCCCTTCGCAATCTTGAGGAACTCCTGTGTCATCTGAATCAGGCCCGTGACATTCGTCGCCCATACGTCTTCAATGACTTGGTTCGGAATCTCAGGCGCACGCTCATATCCGCTCATGAAACCTGCGTTGTTGACTAGGACGTCCACATCTCTGAAATCGTCTGGTAATTCTTGCCAGAAATGGCTCACTTCATCTGGCTTTGACACGTCCAATCTGACCACGTGGAGACGGACGCCAGTGCCGAGTTCTGAGATGATTTGTTCTGAGATGTCGTGTAGTCTGTCGACGCGCCGTGCTGTGAGGATGAGCTTAATGGATTGAGGGGATGTGCGGGCGAATTCGAAGGCGCAAGAGCGGCCGATGCCGGAGGATGCGCCTGTGATCAGAATGGTCTTGCCGTGCAAATTTTTGGCTGCGTTTGTCGGCATGGCGGACTGTTTGCAGATGTTGCAATGTGCCCAGGACATCTTGTGTGATGCATGGATGGGTGTAGATGCAGGCACGGGAGCTAAGCTGTACGGAGGAAGGTGCGCTGCGGGGCGGAGGGGAATGATTTGTATAGCCGAGACCGTCATCATAAGAGCATGGAAGACCACAACATGAGAGTTTGAACATCCACATAAGGAGGAATTGGGAGAATTGGATGGAAGATCTGCCGTTGTTGAATGGCATCATCCGCTCCTTCCTTCGCAATAGCCAACGTGTCTTGTCAGACCCAGGAGGCTTTCAAAGCGACTCGACTATGGGTGAGGACGGTCCTCAATCCGCCATACGCCATCATGCATTCCGCCGTATTTGAATCCCATGCACAACTTGAAGCCATGTTCCGCAGCGAAATCGTCGAATTTTGTTTCTGCTAACAGGAAGTCCCACACATCCACTGTGGCTACGTCGAAGACCACGGTGTTCAACCGCAGAGGCAGGTGCAGCGTTTCTGTGGGCATCGAGGTTTCAGGTATTGGAGCCGGATGCGCTGCGTGAAAGCGTCTTATTATTTACAACCGGATTCGCTCATTGGGGCACAGTACTAAATCATTTCTTGGAGCTCCCGTGGCAGTTCAAGGAGTCTGCAGGCCATGGACAGTGAACCAAGTGTGAGGCTGGTCGCAACACTGGTGACCTCGGTCACCGGATTGTTTGATGTTATGTTGCAGTTTTCGAGCCGAGTGGTAAGGATGGGGTCCTGATGGTACATGGCTGGTGATCCCTGGAGCTGCAGGCGGTCGTGCCCAGTCGCGGTAATAATCGATAGTCGTAAAGCTGATTACTGGTATTCTTTGAGCCAGCTTCCACAGTCATACTGCGTGAGGGACTGTTCGTGTATGCGTAAAGCACGCTGGGATGTAAACAGGGTCGTGCCACGTGTGGACGTGTTGGAGGGCGCGCCTTCAAACCTGCCTTGACCTAGAGGGTGACGCGGCTTTTCTGACCGGGCAACGTGCTTTCTTCAAACTCGATCTTTTTGACATGTTGGCCTGGCAAGACAATCAGGCCCACGTAACGACTGCTCCATGTGACCTTGGTGGACGGATTCCCTGACTCCTCAACCGCCTTGCGAATGGCTTCAGCAGAAGGCGCACGGTACTCGTATGCAAGAGACAAGATGATGTTGCGGTCCTTAAATCGTCAGTACGACGCAGCTTCAACATTGGCGAGAAACCCACCTTGTCAGTGCATTTCATCTGCCCGCCAAAAATGCGGCCATCAGAGGCATGAACGCGCAGGTTCTTGCCAATGAACTGTGACAGCCAGAAGGTGGCTTGCTCGTTGTCCATCTTGGTGCTGGTCTTACTCTCGTTGCTGGGCGACTTCAGATACGGCAGGTACCAGCTGTATCGTTTTGCAGCCATCTCGGCGATGTTCTCATGGAGGCTGTGCTAAAAGTGGAGGGGTGTGGCTTCATCGTGGCTTCCCGCCGTGGCTGGTGATGTTCACAGATGATCTTAGTCAGCAAGTTTTTCGAGCTTCGACATTTGATTGCAGACCGCGGAGGCGTGCAGCCGCACATCACCATTACCATGCTTTCAATACGGCGGAGCTGTCAGTCAGCACTGCGCAACTCTAACGGTGCTGCTGCTTACGCCAATGGCTCGCGCCGCGCTTTTTCTCAGAGTGTAGCGCGTGCGAAGGGTGCGCATACACCATGTCACTACTACCATTTACCCGTGTTGACGATAGCATAGGCCTTCCTGTCTTTCTCGAACCTTCCTCTACCGAATTGTCTTCTACGCTTGCCCAGATCAATTCGAAAGTCCTCCTCCCCGAACATCTGACACAAGAGCAGCAGAAGCTCGTCTACAAGGAGAACGGGCGCGCAAAGCTCGAAGCCCAACCTGTCGAGGTCACTATTGGCGAGGTGACCCTTCCCCTCGAGCACCTTGACCGTACTGCACGACCAGGCCGTTGGGAGAGTCTGCGGGATGTCATCAATCAGAGCGAGACGCCAGCAGACTGGGAGAACGTTGTCCGCGTGTTGGAAGGCTTCCACAGCGCTGGCATCGAACTCAGGCCACAGTGGCAGGACCTTGTTGTACGGAAGCTGAATGAGAGTGGACACCACAGTATTGTCCTGAAGGCCCTGCAAAGGGTGAAGGCTACCGGACTGCGATTGAGCAACTACCCGGTCGCTGTCAGAGTTCTTAAGGGTGCGCACGAGCGAGCTGCAGACTCTGACTGGGACAAAGATGAGACCGCCAAGGCGCTGCGCTATGCGCGTCAAGTCGTTGAACTCATGGAAGAAGAGGAGCATAACGCCGTATCTTCAATCAAGGGCGCCAAGAAGGGACCCACCGACTGGAGGAGCGCGCCCTACGTAGTCGCCGTACCAACCGAACTGGCCGCCATCGTTGCACAGAAGCACGAAGGCGACGTCCAGCTCGTAAAGAACCTCGCCAACCGCCTTGTCAATGTCCTCAAGCAAGACAACACCGCTGCACCACTCAGGCAAAACTTCAAACATGCCGAGCCACCAGCTGTCTCGGCGCAAGACTCAATCGACCGCGTATCTCTCCTCGCCAAGCAGACAGAATCGGACTTCAAGAACAAGAGAGACCAGACTTCAGCCCTCAACCAGTATTGCGAGGGACTATTCGAAACCATGGCCATCTGGAATGCGCTCAAGACGTCAAAGGCTGTGCTTGGTGCTGATATGCCACTTGCGGCCGAGGCTGCTGAGTACGAGAGCAGGGCTAAGCAGGTGCTCGACGAGAGCGCCCAGGCTCTTCCCAAGCTGCGAACGAGGGCCGGCGAGGACATCAAGAGCATCTATCCTGTGTATATCCAAGAGCACATCAAGAAGTGCCAGACGTAGACGTGGCCTATTGGGTGCATGTATGATCTTCGGAATGTAGAGTGAGTCTGTACAATTGTAACATAGAACTGAGCGCCCCATCAGTAGTCAGCATTGCAATCGCACAATGTCATGCGAACAAACCGTGAGTAGCACGACAAACATTGAACGCAACTGTCTACGCTCATGACTCATCACACGACAAAACAGAGTGCTTAGACTGTCGGGTACGACGAACATATCCAGTATGGACGAGTTTTGAGTGCAGGTCAATCCCGCTCCTGACAGGCCATGGGCATTGCAGTAGCGCTGACGTTGGTCATCCACCCAATCCCGTTCCTGACAGGCCATGGGCATTGCAGTAGCGCTGACGTTGGTCATCCACCAAGATCTCTCTCGCAACCACCCTCTCGAAGCGAGCACCCATGACATGTCGTTATTGGAGGGGATTGCGCATCTACTCCATCTTCAAGCCTGCCCCGCCGAAGCAGTGCAGCCGCCAAGAGGTTGAATAGGAAGCCACTGACATGTACAGAATGCGCAGGGCGTGCTCTCGGGAGACACGCACATAAACTACGCCATGACCTCGACTGAACTACATCGTAGCATTCTCCAGGAGCAGATACACGTCTGCG